ATATATTGGATGAAGGTTTTTCTGTTTAAAAATAAATGATATTGAGAGCCATGAGTTCTACCGGGGCATTGTTTGAAAGTAGAGGTTGTGAAGTTTCAAATAGTCAACATGTTGTTAGCTTACTTATTTACAATAAATATGCATGTAAGTGGTTTTATTTAAGTAATACAGAATGGTTTTGCTGCCTATTAGCTTACAGAAAATGAATATTTAGTGGTCATATTTTCAGAATATTATTTTTCTCCATTGATGGAATGAATATAGAATGACGGTACTACAGTCATTTTGAGTAATTCAAAATACTAGTATTTTTAATAAATAAAATTTAAATTTTGATATGCCATGCACTTGTTTCCTGTTGGGGATTTACCTGTTAGGTAGAAATGAAGCCCAAAATGGATTAGATAGAAATGAAACCCAGAATGGAGTTGCCTGAGCTGATACACCAAGATTTAATATCTGATCTAACTATGGCTACAACATGTTCCAGAAATCCAGCCTTATCTGGATAAAGAAAGCAATAGAAATATGATATGCAAATGTATGGAGTTTTCTAGTCAGCACCATGAGGTAATCCTTTCAATCCCCCAAAGGAAGATACAGTAATCTGCCGCCATAGACCCCACCCCCCACAGGTAAACTACCTATTCCTGAAATTGTTTTTTTTTTCCATATTTCTGTCTCCCTTGTCTTGCCTTCAAAACCTTTCTTTTTCTGTTGTTCTTTGGAATTCTTTTCTGTTCTCTGGATGGGATAATAACCCATTCATACATTGTTTAATAAAGTCAATTAGAGAATTGATTACAGTTAATCCTCTCTCCATTTAGAAAGATTTATGTACTATCCTCCTTCAGTGCATCCTAAGACGATCTACCATGATCAGAGATTTCACCAGACAGGCCCCAGAGGAAAACATATATAGTTTAGAGGACACTCTGTACAACTCTCTTCATTACTGTGATCTATTAGTTGCAAAAATGTCCCTAATCACTTACATGCTCCCTGTATCCACAGTCTTTGCAATGTGACTTTCAGCCCCTCCCATTAAGATATGGAGTCTGTTTCCCTTTCTTTGAACCTGATAAGTCTTATAACTCACTCGGAGCAACTGAATGGATGCAGATTATGGACCAACATCTCCAAAGGCATTATACATTTCCACTCTTCTTTAAAGTCTCCTGGCTGGGTTTCTGTACATCTCTCAGAGATGCTTTTTCCATCGGGTTTCATTTTCAGGTGTTCCTCTCCTGGTAGTGATGGTGACAGGTGCTCCATATTACATACTTTCAGGCTCAAATCAAAAGGGAATGAAATGAATCTTTTCTGGTAACTCCCATAAAGTTCTTAGATTCTAAGAATTTAGATTCTAAGATTTCATTCTAAGTGGATTAGATCAGGTGTTCACCTGGAATCGTCACTGTGATGGGGATACTAGATCTGCTAATTTGGTTTAAGTTAATTTGTGCTCACTGCTAGTGTATTCTACCAACCAGTAATCAATAACAGGAACTTTCCAAGGGTTAGATATTGCCTGCAAAGGTTAAATAAATGCCAAGCAGTCAGAACAAAAGATAACCGTTGTAGTATTCTAATTTCTTAACAAAAATGTTCTTTGTAATTTTGTTTACTTTTTATTTTTACTTTGCCTTTCACAAAGGCCCTTTTGGTTTTTGAGGATCAAAAACACAAGAAAATACTTGGAATTAAATAATTTTTAAATATCCCATGCTCGAAACTCATCTAACATGAAAAATTTATAAACACAAATTTCCTCTCCTGGATCCTTTAAAACAAGGATAATTTCACACCTTTCTACTATATTTCAATTATTGTTACTGCTACTGTGGTGATCATTAAATTTTTAAGCATACTTTATATTTTCAAAATATTCTGTTATCAGTTATATTAATTATCACATACAGGCAAGCCAGATCTCTTGGCATTTCTTTGTTCAATATTCAATTAAAACAACAACAAAAAAATCCTCACACCAGTTGTCTGAAGCAGCTTGTGGCTTGGCTAAAAGGAGGACTATCAGGGTAACCAGTCTGTTGCCTAGTAACAACAGCAGTGTTCTAAATCTCAAGTTGTACAGGCAGTTTTCCCTTTGCCGATATCCAACCTACTGTCTATATAAATTAGAAAAGGAACTCAAAGGTAGATACACAGAAATTTTGCAATGGTTATTGTTGAGCCAAAGGAATAGCTGGCATGATTGCTTTTCATGCATTATGTCACCTCATTCTCATAACAATTGTGTGGAGAAAACCATATTTGCATTTTATTTGTGGGGACAGATATTGAAACTTAGTATGCTTAAGTAAGTTTATTCAAACAAAATCAAATAGCTGGTATGTATGCAAGTGGGTTTTGAATGCAGAAAATTTGATTTCCACTTTTTGATGAAATCCTGGTTACAAATTTTAAAGAACTCTTTTCTACTCCCTACATTCTCTTGAACAAAATCATCTTTGCAGAAAACATGTATGTGGGGGCACAATGGGTTAAAGCACAGCACTGCGAAGCTTGCTGTAGCTGCTTCAGCCTGGGTTCGATCCCAGGCCAAATTGGTGACTCACGTAGAGCAGCAGACCTCTCCTGTCTCACCTGCTGCTCCCTTCAGCAGTATACTTCCTCAATCTGCCTGTCCTGCTCTCTGTTCTGTCTTTAGTGAATCCTCTCACCACTCCTGTACCTCTGGCCTATACCTTTGTATACATAAATAAATCTTAAAATGTGTGTGTGTGTGTTGTTGGATATGAATGAACAAGGAATGACTTGATAAAGGGAATATTCTAAGCATATTCCCATTATCAGGCCAAAGAAGGCATCCATCCACCATTCTCCAGAAATTGTCCTCAGCTGGTTGGAGTCAATTCACCAGAAATTTACCTATGTTCTCCCCCTCCTCCACCACCGTCTCTGCCTTCCAAGCCCCATTTCATAAATAATGATGGGATATAGGAACACAAAAGGTCAGGCCCTTGTTCCTAACTCTGCAGGCCATTTATTTCAGAAACTATCCCTTGAGGAACAGCCAAGACTAGACTTTGTAAGACTTCTATTTGAAATAAAATAAGGCGTATGAATAACACCACTTAACAGACTCATCATCCTTTCTCAACTAGAAACTAGGGTTTTCATGATGATGACTTGACAACATAACCCTTGCACCTAGAATGGTTTACCGCTAATCTGCTTAAGAAATCTCCATGCTGTTCTAAGAATGGTGCACTAGAACAAAGAAATGAGATGTCAGAAGGCCAGAGTCCGAATCCAGGTGCTGCCTGTTATTTTTTTCACTACATGATACAGAGCAGTCACATCACCATTTGGAATCTTCTCTTCTTTGCAGAAAATGGATAATGATGGTGATTTATACTTCAACAGGTAGGTGTGAAGGCAAGTAAGCTAATAAATAGAAAACTTGGGGAAAAAATCAGGACTGGATATTTTTCTAACTGAAGAACACAGGATATGAATTACCATGAAAATAGTAATGAACTGGACATTTTAATCCCCAGTACTATTCTGTTCATGCTGTCAGAGAAACAAACACCCCTCAAAAAAATTAGGAGTGTTTGCAGTATCTGACAGCTCTCACTAGAACAAATTTTTTTTTTGTGAGCAAATGTCAACGTTAAATGTGTGTAGATATAGGTATATGAAAATAACTGTTTCTTCAAGTAATCTTCAATTCTATCCTGAAAGCAATTATATATCTTATTGTACCTAATTGTTTCCCCTTAAGTTTATATTATAGAACAAATGGAATCAGCTTTTCTTCAGTTGCGGGTGGCAATTTTTTTTAAAAGATACATTTATGCATACAGAACTGGCGTAAAGACTAGAGGTGCAGGGGTGGTAAGAGGATTCAGAGACAGAGTGAGAACAGACAGACTGACTGAAATACACTGCTGAGGGGTGCAGTGAGTGGGTTAGAAGGTCTGCCATGCCATGTGGGTCACCTCCCTGGCCAGGTATCGAATTCATACTGCAGTGGCTTGCAGATTGCTTCATAGTGCTGTGCTTTAACCTGTTGCAGTGGCTGACAATTCTTTAAGAAAATTATTTATCTTTGAATAATTCCTTAGAGAAATATCTTTATTTTTAAAAATTCTTTTGTTAACCTTGATGTCCTTGTTAAGCCAAGTTGTCCTTGCTCTCAAACGAGAACCAACTCCAGGAAGCCAAATATGAATCCCTAGCTAATCACAGAAGACCCTGTCTTGTACAGATTCTGGCCTGCCTGCAACTTCCCCAGGCTAACAGAGCACACCAAAAACCTTCATTTTTCACACTATCAAATCTTCCTACTGTTTTGTCTGCCTTTGTTCTTGTTGCTTTCTTTTTTAACATTCCTGACAGTGATTTAATGTTACCTACTTAAAAGTCATCTGACAGTTTTAAATATGGAAATTTTAATTTCTCATCCATATGAACAGATATTAAATTTTCTACAAATCCTTTTGCTGTTTGCCTTTTGGACTCTAAGGAAGGGCAAATGACAGAGGAGGTATCTCCCCTGCTTTGTTCTTTTAGAACAAAGAAATGAGAAGTCTGAAACTAGAAATTATCATCTGCTTTTATCATACAGTTGGACTTCATTTATTTCCGCAACCCCAATGTGCTAAGATAGCAAGTAATCAGGTGTCTCAAAACCACAGGGGGGTATGACTTGCCTCAAAACACTACACATATAATTCAGAATCTGTACAAGACATAGAATATATATTCTGTATGTATCTGCCTCCTACCCAAAACTATTATCAAGTTTGATATTTTATTTTTAACTGAAACAAAGGACAGAAAGCTGTTAGTATAAAAACAATTTAAGATCTAGCAATTCTACATAATAATAATTTGCTATGTATTTAACTATAAAAGATTCTGCTTTATGCATTTCTTTTACTCTCAACAGATTTATTACAGTTTCAGAGAATAATTTAAAAGGTAATGTTTCTCTCAAATACTTCATCATATTGTAAACATTGATCTACCATGTAGAAAATTCATAATTTAATATGCAAGCACTAAGATTTGGAAATGCCAGTTATACAATTGAACTTATAAAAGTTAACATAAATGGCTGAGATCTTTAATAGGTAGGAATTAAAATACAAGTTAATGCCAGATACAAGTTAATGCCACATAATATAGAACTATCATGGGGATACATTTGGTAGATTTATTTTTTATTATATACAACATGAAATCAGTAAAATATTACAATAGACTTTTCAAGTACTGATTTTTGGTTTATTATAATTAAGTGTAAACCATTGCTTGAGTTTTGTTTTCAGCAACATGCAAAAATCACACTTGATTTAAGCACATTCATTTATTAATTTAAGTTGTTCAGAAAACATCAAAAATGTATCATCATATTGTAAACATGATCATTATAAATCTTCAGCTATGAAAAGAGAGCAATCCAAAAAGCAGTACAAATTTCACCTCCGGAGGCAAATGTATACCAAAATTAACAAAAAGATATTAACAGAATTCACCTGTCAATTACAACAAGGGAAAGAGGAAATTGTTTTTAAGAGATGATCTGTGGAAAGTTACAGTTGCGAAAGGTCGTGAGGTGTCTTAAAATTTTCATTTGAAAATTCTTCGAAGGCTCATTAATGGTCCATTTATTCAGAAGCTTGATCTTCTCAGGAAGCAACTTCTATAGCATTCCCGGAATGTTAATTGTGGTTTGCATTTGGAGAGTGCTATATTAACAGTGCACAAGAAAAACTCATTATACCTACAGGCAAAGATTTAATTTCCTACAATGACTCCTGAACACCATCTTTAAAAGTTGCACTTTGACTGAATTCCCGCTTATTTATAAAACTTGTCTATTGTAGGAGAAGAAAAAAACCTTCAGAGTCCAGTGAGGCCATTCTTTATAAATATTTCAGCTATCACACCCCCAAGTTAAAGCACATTCATGTATCCCTCTCCCCCCACCCATATACATGCCAAAATAAAACTTACAGCTGTTTTCAAAGCTTGATCTATATCTTCCAACAGGTCTATTTTATCCTCTAGGCCCACAGAGAGTCGAATCAATGTGTCACTAATTCCCAGGATCTCTCTGTCACTCTTAGGTACTGATGCATGGGTCATGATTGCTCTGGAAGAGAAAGTGAGCAAATTTTTGAGTCACTATTTTAGTAGATTCATTTCTGTTTCACAAATTGCATTTATCTTAAGATTTTGTTTCTACTCAGACCTCTAATACTTTTCCTTCAGGTAAAAAAATAAGAAAATACTTTTTTTAGACATGATTTCAAATGAAAAGCAAAATCTTCTGTTGTATTTTTCCAGCAGTAAAGTATAATCAGTTCAAACACTTGAAGGTACCAGTCAGATACCCCTTGCAGGAAGGAAACATGTTCCTAGTTAATGAGTTTTAATACCTGCCTAAATAAGAACTAGATCAGAAGTCATATATCCTACCGACAGACAGCTGGACGTACTAGAAAAGCCTCTTAAAACAATGGCCTGCCAAATTAATTTCCTCTAGATTCATGGACCAATCCATAACTGGACCTTCAGAGTCAGATCATATAACCCAGGATTAGTAGATATAACCACTAAGTATTAAGTAAATATTCCAGAATGGAATCGATCACTTTGAAGCCCTAAGAATTTCAAAACAACATAATAACTCATCACCAACAACCTGTGTAAAGGTAAAGCACCTCTTGTTGGTCTGGCACTAGAGTAAGAATTGAAAACCAAGATGAGACATTTTCAGGGCCTCCAAGGTGGCACAAGGGATTAAAGCACAGCACTAGAAAGCTATCTGTAGCCAAAGTCTTGAGTTCTATCCCCAATCAGGGAGCTGACCCACATGGCACAGCAGACCTCTCCTGCCTCAACTGCTCTTCCCCTCTGAGGTATATTTCAGTCAATCCTCCTGTTCTTTTACCCACTCTAGTTTCTGGTGAATCCTTTCACCCCCTTTCCTGCACCTTGGGCCTATACCACAAAGTTCTTATTATTTATAAATAAACCTTTACAAAAAAAGAAAAAAAGAATGAGAAATTTCTTTTTCCTAATAACAAAGCAGGAGGTTGAGACATTTACAAGTGACAAAACAGAACTGTCTACAGAATATGCCAAACAAGTGTGAACAATAAGGACTGCCAAAGTTCAAAGAGGAAGAACTCTCTGAGCTGAGGCATCAGTTAGGAGAGGCTTACAGTCTTACTGATCCCTAACATGCACTTCCCCCACTCTGCCCTGCAGCACACACCACCAGCAGAAGCAATGTCTAAACTTTCTCCTATCTCATTTCACCTCATGGAAAGAAAATCTCAACAGCAGTCAAAGTAAAGAGCTCTTCTTTTACTACATTACTGAAATTTTACCCACAACACTTTCTTGAAAAATGTTTTATCTTTTCCTTTTAAATTCTAAATGAGAGAGATATATAGAAACATGAACTTAGACCTCTGAGACTGAAAGACTTGATTTTTGAATCTTATCCTCTTTCACATACTGGCTGTGTGGGCTTATAAAAGCCCTGTCTTCAGTTTCTTATCTGAAACAATAATAACTATCATTTAATTTTATGCTTACCATGACACAGGTAATCTTCTAATCATTTGTTTGCATTCATTTTGTTAATGTATAAAAATTGCATATAAAGTTACCTATCTCAAAAGCTTGTCAGTCATTAATGGAAGGAACACATAAAGCATTTATAGATACATAGAAAGAACAGATGCCTAATAAAAAATAGTAATTTATAATAGTAGTTTAACATGCATTGGTATGTAGGATGAGCCATGTGTATCAGGGATTCCCACCCCCATGTCTTCACATCAATCCTATGGACAGGGTAGAGTGTGATTCACATTTTACAATTGAGGAAACTGAGATTGAGAAAAGATAAGAAACTTTTTAAGGACACAAAGGTAATACCTGTTATCAGGCTTCAAGAGCAACCCAGTGCAAGCTGGCTCCGTTTCCTCCTCGTCTTATTACAATGCTGCCCTGGTTGCAGCAAAGTTGGGAGACTCAGAATGAGAGTCATAGAAAAGACAAGTCCTGACCTAAATTGGCTCATCCCCTGGCATCAAGTTTACAGTCTAGCTGGAGCATTTGAGGGCCAGGTGACTTTAAACCAAACCCCTAAATAAATCAGGAAGCCTATTTTTAAGACTTCCTTCAAGTAATACACATTTATTCCTATGAAAAAATAAACCAATTTCATATGCTGAGTGTGCCCTCTTGTGTATCCACACTTACTAGCAGACATCTTGAAAGACTAACAAAAATCTGTGTTAATCTTAATTACTTGGATCACTATTTCAGCATATTTTCTTCAACTTGGCAAAAATGCCTCAGTTCATAAACTATAAATAACTATGAGAAGGCAGGAAATGTGTCTAAATTCCGACAACCACTACCATGTCTCAGCAAAATGCTTATAAAATTTAGTTATTACAGAAATGTTTGTGAAAATTGACACAGAAATATACCATGTATTTCATACTGTTCAAAATTATTAGGAAATGATGTTGGTTTCCCCTTGCAAAAATTACAATATATGGTCATTAAAACATAAAATAAAGTCTGGATATAGTACAAGGACAGGTAATCAATAAGCAAGAATTATTATTTTAATAATTAATCCAATTTAATGGATGAAAACAATTGAAGGTCAAAAGGTAAGTAATTGGTGGAATCCCAATTCAAACTGTTTTACCTTCCTGCATGGTTGTAACTTTTGAGTCATCAGCAAACTTTGATGACTTTGTTCATTTATCAGCAAAACAAGCTATTGAAGTGATCTTAGGCTGCTTTATGTTCTCTTATCTCCTGGTGCTTTGATAAAATTAGATGAATTGATTGGATCAGGTAGTAAAGGGTCAGAAATACTATGTTCAATTTTGGGCTTATCCTACATATAGCAGAGTCATTCAAGATATACGAAAAATAAACAGACCTGATGGTATCTTGTAGAATTCTTTCCTGAGAGTCAAAGACATGTGGTGTTTTATCAGGACACATTCTCCATTTCCCTGGAAGCCTTAAAAGCACAAGGACTCTAAACCCCTCCCAAGGCAGTGTGAGAGTAAAACAAGCAGGCCTGGTTAAGAGGTCAGAGATTCTAAAATAGACTTATTGCAGGAATCTGCTTCGAGCACAACAGGAAAGAACCAAAATTTGGAGGACAGAACTCACTGCTAAGTACCCCTCACAGACTCCTTCTGGGATTCCACTGAGTTAAGAGTTCCTTCTGGTTGGAGAGTGGCACACTGTTCTGATTTATTGTTAAATATCCTGAATCATCTCTGAACTTTTTCACATTCCTTTTCCAAGTGATCATTAAAGTTGACATCAAAGCTAAAATACCAAGAAAAACAGGAATATACTTACGGAAGCTCAGCAAGACTTTCATATCCTCCCAAGCTCTCAGCCAGAGTAAATAACTAAGGCAGAGAAAACATTAATTTAGATCTTCATGAAGTAAAAAATACTAAAATTTGGAAATAAACATTTGTAATAAAGTGGCCCTCTGACTAGGGATGGAAAATAGCTGTCATAATGAATAAACTGCAAACTTAATAAGAAACTCAGATTAAAGGAGAATAAAATTCCTAACAATGATTTTACTGATCAGATAATAGTAGGTATAAACTTGTAAAACTTATTGAAAGTTGATGAAAGCGAACCTCTTATAGCTTCCTAATTTGGCCCTATATAAAATAATACTTAACATGAGATCTAAAAACTTCAGAATTATTACATTTGAGATCCAGCTCCTTGGTTGTCCTTAAATAAAAATCTCTTTGTCTACCAAGTTATATATATTAATATGTATCATTGATTACATTAATATGTCCATTGATTACATTAATATTAATATGTTTTTCCTCCTCGGAGGAAAAACACCTCAGTTTTTAATGTTTAATGTTGTAGTGTCACAGAATTTTACAAAGGGTTTTAAAAAATTACTCTCACAACTATGTAACATTAAATCTATGTTAGTATCTTTCTGATTTTACAGGTAGGCAAAATTTAGATAGCAGGAGGCTTTGACTGATTCATCAGGATCCCATTCATTAAACCTGTTGTATTTAAAATGCAAGAGGCAGTTGCATGAGCTCTATGTACCCCGGGGAGGTACACAGGCCTCTCTCCAGGGCCCTCAGAGCCTCCTGCCACTGTGAAAGTGAGATAAAGGCCTGCCTTCCCTCTTATCTCAGGGAGATGTAGCCTGTGAAGCAACAGACAAGGCTCCTAGGCTGGATTCAAGACAGCCTTCAGCACTGTACTAACTTCATTCTTCTTCCAGATTTCATGTCAGTTCATTTTAAAAGGGCTCATTTTCAATAAATTTGAAACAATGCCTTAGGACATTCTATTTCCCTCAAATTGATGGCAGTGTTAAGAGAGCTAAGCAAATAAATATATTCAGATATCTGCTACTGCACCTGTGATTTTCCAGCCCCCAAATTTCATAATAAAGAAGTCTGTGTGGGTATAACCTGAAGATACAAAACATTCATCTGAGTTGAGTGGAAATGAGAGATAATAAACTGCTGTAAGAAAGTCTTACCTCTACAATTTAAAAATCTATTTTGAAAAGTTACCTTTAGGTTCTTAAGGAATGCCTCACTGTGCTTCAGAGTGCCTTTAATATAAAAGGTGATCATTCCTGGGCAACCTGTGCATTGACGTTTTGCCAATTCATGCTGAGGATGAGAGGGCAGCCCTGTAATCATATGGTATAAAACAAAATTAGAGTTAAATAATGTAATTTCAGACAAAAAAATCTGTTTAAATAAACTGCAAATAAGTCTAATGGATTTATTCCATATTTGCATCTGACTACTTGTTCTGGTCCCTGTCTATTTCTCTAACTTCATTCTGTTGTCGTTTATACATTTTCCACATTCTAGCAAGCCCAGTTTCTTTACTCTGGCAGTAATCACTCTGCTTTTATCTCAGGGTCTTTATACATGCTGTCTCTAAAACCAAGAACATTTTTCCTACTAACTGCTCCCTAACCCCTCGTAATTTCTTGCTAAATATTTGTCTTCTTGGGCCTTCCTATTGGCACAAGGGGTTAAAATCTCAGCACTATGAAGCTGTGAGTGGCCACTGCAGCATAAGTTTGAACACAGGATAGGGAGCTAACACTCATTGTGTAGCAGACCTCTCCTGTCTTGTCTGCTGTTCTCCTCAGCAGTGTTTTTCAGTACATCTGCCTGATCTGCCTCTGGTGAAGCCTCTCACCTTCCCGCACCTCTGACCTACAACCACTTATTATATGCATAAATAAATAAATCTTAAAAAACTGTCTTTCCTGCCAGACTAGTCCTATGAGGAAAAATTCATTTCTTTTGTTAATAATTGGATTTCAATTTCTACTACAAAGCTCGGTTGGTGACTAATATTTGTGCATGTAAATGCTACTTATTCTTCAGGCCACAGTTCAAAACACTCTTTGACCCTGCATTCAAATTATACACTAGTCAACAGCTCTTTACCTTGAGTACATTTAGGATATTTGATCTCATGTTTTCACTTATCTAAGGCTAAGAAACCTTGAGGATAAGCCCAGATGTAATTCTCCTACATATGAGAGCCTATGTTTTGGAACTTCAAAAGGATTTAAAATAACTACTTACATAAGATCACCACAGTTTAATAGGCTTACAAAATAAATTCAAAGAGTAACATGTAAGTCTTCTAACACTAAATGAAATTTCTAGAGGTTGCAAGAGGTAAAGAAAATCAAAAAGGAAGAGGACTTTGGTGGAATTTTGGTGCATTAGTAGCAAGTCTTAACTTGGTAAGTATCAAGTCTCAACGTAAGATAAAATTTGAAAGCTAGGGCTAAACAAGACTGACAAAGACTATAAGCAAATCAACTGGAAAATGCACATGTCTATCCTTTTTACCACCTGGCCCAGCACAGCAGAGTTCCACAATAAATGAACAGCATAAAGGAGAAACCTCCTAACCTAGCCAAGGTTATATAAGTAAGGTGTTTAGGGCAACCCTTAAAATCCTAGTGTAAACACATATATTCTCAAATCACATTAACGTACCAGGATAAATAACCCTATCTACCAGAGGATGAGATTCCAGAAACTGAGCAACTGCCATTCCATTTTCAAAATGCTTCTCCATTCGAACTTGTAGAGTCTTCAGACCGCGATTGCAGAGGTAACAGTCAAGAGGTGATGGGACAGCTCCAATAGCTGCAAAATAAACAGGTCCTGGATTACTCTGAAGGGAGAGAGGGGCCCAGAAAATTCTTAATCCTCTTTTGATTAGAGTGACTGAGAAGCTGGTTACAAAGTCCAGTGTTTGAATGGAGGAGGGAAGGGACTATATCAAATCGGAAGCATGAGAGGATGAGGCATAAAACAGGCTCACAGAAAAAGGCTTTAAAATGAGGGGAAATGAGTATCCTGAAGAATTAGTGAAAATGATATACTATAATAGCTTTCTATGATTTTAATGAAATACTGTACATAGCTAAATCTTCTATCTCTCTGAAAAACTATTACAACAAATTAAGAAAATAGCAGTTCAGATCCCATTATTGCTGAGTGATCTCCCAACATTCTATGCAACTTTTGTCTAAGGCAGCCTATGGTTTCACATTCTTCCAGTAAATGTACCCCACTCTAGCCTTTGTAAATGAAAATTTTATATCCAGCAATAATTTTTAGTTTCCCTTTTTAGTGTCCCCTTTTTTTACTTTAATACTTCTTTCTTGGCAAAGTATTTTTTCCCTTAATTAAGTTTATGTCGATTAGCAACTGTGGCTAAACCAAGTCTTTTCAAATAAATTTTTATCCATACTGGAGTTACCAAACAATCTCTATGGTGTTTAAATATCTGTTGAAAAGTATGTGGATATCTTAATGCTAATTAAAATTAACCACCACTCCAGATATAAAAGATATGTTAGGGCCCTCCCTGGTGGCACAAGTGGTTAAACCACAGCACTATGAAGTTACCACAGCCAATACGAGTTTGATCCCCAGCTAGGGTGGGTGACCCACATGGCTAGCAGACCTGCCCATTGCTCCCCTCAGAAAGTGTTTCAGTCTGCCTGTTCTGCTCCCTACTCTTTCTCTGGTAAATCCTCTCACCCCACTCCCCACCTCTGTATTGTACCCCAGTTCTGTATGTACAATAAATTTTTAATAAATAAACAAATAAAGATATGTTAGAAATGTCATTATTCCAAATGTTATTTTTAAAAAGAAAAATTCATTAAAAATTAAAACTAAAAATTCACTTGAGCTTTACCAAATTAAAATAAATATTAACATGGATATGAAAAATAACAAAATCTGTCCCTGTGTCATGCTACGAAGCTCTATTATGCTATAATTACATTTTTGTAACCCAGCTTTTCTACTTTCCACTTAAAAAATTGGAATTCTTATTCTGGTACATACTTCTTCCTAAATTAGTAGAACGCTATCACTTCAAAACATCTAGCAGAAACAACATTATCAAAGGTAGTCACTCCGAAAGCATAAGGGGAAAGTCACACTTTTTGATATCTACAATTTAATACTTACAATTTTGTAAGAAACGGAGCTTTTCATGGAGGGTGTCAGAATTAAGAGACACCAATCCCATTACAACATCACTGTGGCCTAAAACAACACAAGGGTTATTAGGTTCAAGCCATTTATGTGCAGCATGGTAACATACATTTGAAAATTGAGATCCTGTATCACTGCCTCATGCAGTGTTGTGAACAAAAGATTCTATGGAAAAAAAGTAAAATCAGTGCAGGTTTCTTCTTCATTTTATATTTTTTTTTATAATTTCTAAAATATGATTTTCACTTTAGAAAACTGAAAAAAACTCAATGGAAAAAGTTTACATAAATATTATTCAATTTGCCAATAGCAAGAGCTATGCCTAAAAAAATTAAAATCATATCACTATTAAATTTTTTTTAAAAACTGTCAGCAAGATAAAAATATAACCATTTACATAAATCATGAGCATTGTTTTATCTGCTATCAATGGAATTCTACATTTAATCAAAGTATAATTATTTTACATTGTACATAGGTCCAGAGAAAACTTGAGTAATAGCAGTAGGTATAAAAATGCCAAGACCCATGCTTTTTCATCTACCCATTGATAGAACATGCAAAAGTAGATGGTATCATATCTTACCATTCATGTATTTTGTTGCTGAATACATACAAATATCAGCTCCCAGAGCCAAAGGCCGCTGAAAGAAACAAAAGGTTTTTATTTTAAGGGGGCAATCTTCACTACTTGCCTATTTGCTATTACAAGTTGTGTTTCTACCCTAACTTTTTTTTTTTTTTAAA